CCTGTATACTTCCCAGAAAATAAACATATATACGTATGTATAGATATGTCAAGTCATGCTCAAAGGTATGCCAATCATACTCAAGATATGCCACATCGGAATCTCATAATAAAATGTAAGTACTCAGGCATAACTCATATCAATAACATATAATCTGGCAGCCGGAGTCACCTAAAGTGACCTGTACGGCTGAATCTAGAGCTCAAATCTCAATCTCAATCACTAAACAACTGAACCTGCCCACGAGTCGGAACCACCTAACGTGGTCTGTACGACAGGACTGGGTGTGACGTATATATATACGCTATAGTGCTACGATTACGTGAAGGCTGGGCGAATAATCACGGGTCACCTACGAGTCGGAACCACCTAATGTGGTCTGTACGACAGGGCTGTGCACCTAGCTTGGATCCAAGATGAGCATAAGGTGCGGGAAGGTGAACATCACGTGAAGGACTGGGCCCTGCTCAGGGCGGGAGCACTCACACTAGGGGTGCAGGTTATGAGCTCGCTAAGTATCTCAAACTACTGCTGAATGTAAATACGAATAACCTTTACTTGACACTTACCTGTACGTCCACAGCACCTAATACGCATATATATATGTATGCCACTACTAATACATGTGATGATGCATAAACGACAAACATATGGTGCATGGCATGAAACAAATAACCCTTTTTAACCAATTTCTGGGAATATAAATGTATATAGGTATATACGGAAAACCAAAAGCCCACTCACTGATAAGTGGAAGGGTCGTAGCCCCCCTGCCTCGAGTGACCACGCTCGTCCTCGGGATACGTATCACCTATACGCGAAACAACTACAAAAACGTTAATTTAAAAGCACATAACCAATTTCTCGTAATAACTTCTCATACATTGCTCAAAATGGACAAATGAATATACCAACGTGCTCTACACAACCTCAGGATCACCACCATATTTTTAGAATATTTTTCCTCCGCCGCACAAGCCCCCACGCGCCGGCCAAGGCATGGACCTACGCGCCCCCCACGCGCGGCCACGTGCCATGCACACTGACGGTGTCAACTGACGCCGTCAGGAATATTCCGTCAGTTTTGACAGATTCCGTTAACGGCGTCAGGAATATTCCGTCAGATTTGACGGAATATTCCGTCACCTTCTCCGGCGAGACTCCGGCGCCGGAAAACTGGGAAAACTTCAAACTTCGATATCTCACTCGTTTTTCAACCATTTTTCACGTTCTTTATACCAAAATGAAGCTTAGGACTAGTACAATCACGATATACCACTTTTAAGGCCTAAAAACCATGGAATCTCACCTGCAACAATGATCCAAGTTCGGCCAACTTTGAACCAAGCTTTCCCGACGTCCAAATTTGTCCAACGAAGCACTCCCAAGCTCCTTGGGACCTCACCAACACATCTACAAGCTTAAAAAGTCCAAAAACTAACTAGATTAAGTTTGCATGAACAGTGCATGAATCGGCCATTGTAGAATCGACGTGAAAATGGTGGTTTCCTTACCTGGAAATGGCACCACTGGACTCCTCTCAGCCTCACCAACACAACTGCACCCTTGGTTTCCTCGATTTGCTATGTTTTGAGTATGTTTGTGTGTGGTACGCACGTTGAAGGAAGAAGAGGAAGAATGATAGAGGACTCGGGGAGAGAGAGAGAGAAAAGAGACAGAGAAGAGACAGTGGGAGAGGGAATCAGGGAAAGGCAAAGGGAGAAGGAAAGTGACAGGGTGTGTGTGTGTGGTCCAACACATGTCCACACCACACGAAACAACACTAAACGTAAACGAAAACAAACTAAGGGTAAAACTGTCATTTCATGCGTACGTTTTCGATAATTCCGGGACGGGATGTCACAAATATGTAGTTTAGATTTAGATAAAAGAAAAACTAACAAAAAAAAGGTTCAAATATCTTTAAATTTAGATTTTAAATTGCTGATTACAAGTATTTAAATACGAATTATAATAGATTTTGCATGGAAAAATATACTTTGAAGAGTATGAATATGATAGTTTGTTGTAGTGGTAAGAGAAGAAAAATTAACAAAAATAATTCAAATTCTTGGGGGTGGTTTGCCCCAAGAATTTGAATCATTTTTGTTAATTTTTCTTACCACTACAACAAACTATCATATTCATATTCTTCAAAACATATTTTAATGTGTGTGGACCTCGACTCATTTTTCTAAGCACCAGGAAGTTTGCCTCGTTTTGCGTCGCTGGAGCCCGCCTTTTCTTGGGTGCTTGGGTTTGCCTTATTTTGCATGTGAGGTGTCTACATCGTTTTGCATGACAGAAGTCCGCCCTTTTTGGGTCCACAGAGCCTGCATCATTTTGACTTGCACAGAGCCATCCTCGTTTTTCATGCACAAGACTGACCTCGATTTGTGTGACGTGTACCTCCTCGTTTTTGTGCACGAGCTCGCCTTGTTTTGCATGCCAGGCGCTTGTCCCATTTTTTGTGAGTAGAGCCCGCCTTGTTTTGTGAGTTGTGGTTCGCCTCGTTCTACGTGTGCTAAGTTCGCCTCGTTGTGCGTGCATCGAGGCCGCCTAACACTCATGTGTTTTTGACAAAAATGTAAATTTTTTATTTTCACAAAATATTTTTCCTAAGCATTAAGTTATACTTTTTAAGGAATTTGGAAGTAGTTTTATAATTTATTGAGCAATAAATGTATATTTTATAGAATATTTGAGCCGAAAACTAAAAAAATAAGTGAAAAACATAGTAACGAGGCCCAAAACATTGTCAAAGTGGGTTCGACACTTAAGAATCTCCGGAAGGTCTCACCTTGATTTTCAAAACTTCACAGTGAGGCGAAGGTGAAAATAAATAGATTGAATGATGATTTATGTATGAATTTGTAAAAACGACTGAAAACCGTGAGTGTTAATCCACTTTTTTTGGTAAAAAATACAATTTTTTTTTCTCGAAATATTTTTCGTGGGCATTAATAAAATCTTTATAATGTATTTGCAGCAGATTTATGATTTTTATCGAGCAACAAATGTATGTTTAGTAGAATATTGTCACATCCCGCCCCGGGACGGATCACTTCCCTGGCCTGCTCCACCACTGTAGCATGATATTGTTTGCTTTGGGCTTAACATTCTCTCACGGTTTTGTTTTTGGGAACTCACAAGCAACTTCTCAGTGGGTCACTCATCATGGGATTGCTCTAGCCCCCTTTTCGCTTAACTTCGGAGTTCCTACGAAACCCGAAGTCAGTGGGCTCCCAAAAGATCTCGTGCTAGGTAGGGATATGAATATACATTTAAGGATCACTCATCTAGACGATGTGGGATGTCACAATTCACCCTCATTACGGTTTTGTTTTTGGGAACTCACGAGCAACTTCCCAGTGGGTCACCCATCATGGGATTGCTTTAGCCCCCTCTCGCTTAACTTCGGAGTTCCTACGGAACCCGAAGCCAGTAAACTCCCAAAAGGCCTAGTGCTAGGTAGGGATGAGAATATATATTTAAGAATCACTCCCCTGAACGATATGGGATGTCATAATATTTAAGCCAAGAAGTTAAAAAAAAAAGAGTATAATAATTTTATTTTTAAGTAAAAAATTTAAACTCGAATGTAATTAAGGACTCTGTTGTCTAACAAATTGATTTAACTTACATATTTTATTAACATAAAAGAAAAGAAAAATAAAACCCGGTATAGCGGAATAAACGGACATAGACAACAAAACCCGGGATACTGCCATGACAGAGGCGGGTTCTGCACCTGTGCCACCTTAACTGGGAAAGCATCATCTTTGGATTCTTTCCATCAAGCCTACCAAGATACACAATTTGAACATTTGAAATTTGATATAACAGTTAAAATTATTATAACTTTAAAGTAAATCCTTATTTGTAGCCATTTAATCAAATTTAAAAAAATCGGATTGTGTGCCTTGGTTGACTTGATGAAAAGAATCCAAAGAGAATCCTTTCCCACCTTAACGAACAACAACAAACGCGTGGTGGGTCCCATAACTGCTGTGTGCATGTAATTCCAAGTGTCTCCAAATTATTACGCCTTCAATTTTGGGACTTAATTCCAATTAATTAAAATCCTAACCCCTTTGCTCAAAAAATCCTATTCCCGAATTTCGCAAACTTCCCAAGTTCCAAATCCTCTCCGCCAAAAGGAGAGATCGCTCTCTTATACCACAATGAGAAAGAGAAATGCCAATGCGGAATTTTCTTAAAAGTAAAGGTTTTATGTGGACTCCCTGATATATATGTATGTATATTTAAAAAAAAAATACTATCTACATTAAAGGAGGGGTAGACTTCCGCTCATAATAGACTAGTAATAATGTGATTTAAATTCATCTTTAGCGAGAATCGAATTTAAGACCTCTCATTTGCAAGTAAAAAAGAATACCACTATATCATAGTACTAAGTGACGACTCTCTGATAACTTATGTTTACACAATATTTCATAATGATGTCATGTGGATTAACTTTAAACTGTGAGATGACATAATGTTTATAAAGAGTCTATTTTTGAGAGAAAAATGGTAAAGAGGTTCTCTAAAAATGGACTCTCCAAGTCTCCATAGTGTTTTTGACACAATATTTAATAATGTTAATATGAGAATTGACGTTAAATTATGATGTGTCAGAGAGTTTGAATCCCACTTTTGTGATGGTCTCCTTAACATTTCTCTACTATGTTTAATAAATTACATACAGTGACAGTTGATGGTAATAAATTATTTAATAATTTTAAAAAATCAAAGTGTTAGTTGGCACGTGTTATCTAGTACTACGATCCAATCCAATGATATTCTTCTTCTTTTATAAATGAGAGATCTTAAATTCAATTCTCGTAAAAAAATATATTTAAACTTCATTATTATGAAGCCGGTAAGGCCTAGTTGATTTCCTCACCGTACCACTTTAGCGTAGATATGATGTTTAAAAAAAAAACTGACATTACGTACAAAATATGATTGGATGGCGTGTAGCGTCACGGCTTCACCCATTTAGTTATGGATTAATGTCTTCGTGTTCTTCTGTCAAATACTAAAACCGTCTCTCTCTCTCTCTCTCTCGTCTTCCAGCCACCGCCGTGGCTCCTCCGCTTCTCTCTGTAAAAACTCCATGTTTCTTTGTCTAGATTCGTGCTAATTAAAAATTAACCAGCGGTATCACAAACATGCGATTCCGCGTTGTGAAATTCCGAAATTGACCTGGAGAAATCGCCGATTCTGATGGCGGATGTCACCGGAGATCGCTACCTGGAGAAGCTAGTCCACTTCGTGGAGCAGCAGGCCGGTTCGTTGATCGACGGCAGCCTAGTGCTGAAGCTGAACCCGGCCGGGTTCCACTACGTCAACTCGCGGCTCGAGGCCTTGCACGAGCTCGAGAGCCTCCTCGCCGGCGCTCCCGTCGACTACCTCCGCGCCTACGTCTCCGACCTCGGAGACCACCGCGCGCTTGAGCAGCTGAGGAGGATTCTAAGGCTCTTGACATCCCTCAAGGTCGTTTCGGTGCTGCCGTCTCCCGCCAGGGACCCTACGCCGCTGTCGTTTCGGCCGTTTGGGAGGCTTAGGGTTTTGGAGCTTCGAGGATGCGATTTGTCCACCTCCGCCGCGAAAGGGTTGCTCGAGCTGCGGCACACCTTGGAGAAGATCATTTGCCATAATTCTACTGTGAGTTTTCCTGGATTTTGCTCTGCTTTTCAATGTTTTGATTAATATCTGATTTCTCAGCTACTTAATCAGCATTCTAAGTTCTTAATTTGGTTAATTATGCCCTTGATATGATTAAATTGTTGGAAAAATTATGTTAGGATGCTCTGCGGCATGTGTTTGCGAGTAGAATTGCAGAGATTAAGGACTCACCGCAGTGGAATCGCTTGTCATTCGTTTCGTGTGCTTGTAATGGCTTGGTTCTCATGGATGAGTCTTTGCAACTCCTTCCTGCTGTCGAAACTCTCGACCTTAGCCGGAACAAGTTTGCGATTGTTGATAATCTTCGGAAGTGTGTCAAATTGAAGCACCTAGACCTTGGTTTCAATCAGTTCAGAACGATTTCATCATTCAGTCAAGTATGAATTTAGCTTTCGTTTGCAACGTATTGGTCCACACTTAATTGCTTTGAGAAATTGTATGCACAAATTTATCTGAGAAGAGTACATTTTTATAGTCCCTAATACTGAACAGAGTTCAATTTTTTCAGTTAATATTTAGTCAAGACTGTTTATTTTGGCGCATATTACATGGATTAAAGTACTGAGAAGTTCTTTTTCTGTAGTTTGAGTTCTATTGCCACAAAGTTTCTATTTAGGAAATAGATTTGGACCCATACTCCGATGTTGTTGGACCATGCAGGTCACCTGCCATTTACTTAAACTTGTTTTGAGGAACAATGCTCTAACTACATTGCGTGGGATTGAGAATTTGAAGTCACTTGAAGGGCTTGATGTTTCCTACAATATTATTTCAAAATTTTCAGAGTTAGAATACCTTTCTGGACTTCCATCTCTTGAAAACTTGTGGTTGGAAGGGAATCCGTTGTGTTGTGCCCGTTGGTATCGGTCACAAGCATTCAGTTATGTCACTAATCCAGACAAAGTAAGTTAAGATTCATCTTTTTTTTATTTTTCTTCATTCTTCTGGACCTGAAGCACATCGATCTTAAATATAAAATTTTGAAGCATTCATTACGTATTTTTCAGGTCATTTGTTAGTTTTATTTTTCTGACTTTTGTCTTTTGATCTGTCGTATGGCGGATTAGTTGAAGTTAGATGATAAGGAGATCAGCACCAGAGAATTTTGGAAGAGGCAACTTATTGTTGCTGGCCGGCACAAGCGACCTGCCAGCTTTGGGTTTTATTCTCCTGTAAAGTGCGATGATAATGGAGATTCAAGTCCTAACAGAAAAAGGGTAGGTCACTGTTATAGTTGTTGGGAGTCTTTATCAAGTATTGTATAAATTCATAGGACGCCTTGGTATTGGGGGCTGGTTGTTCTTTACCCCTGAATTTGATTGAACCTCTGCCTACCCCACACATAAATAAGTTAAAAGGGTGAAGTGAATGTGCCTGAATTCGGGTTCCTAATCTGTAAGCGTGATCTTATTTTTTAGTGTTATCGTTCCTGTATGTTGAATGAATCATGTATACCTTTTGATTTTAAATATTTGTGCTATGCATATCATCCACTCCATTATTGACTAGGCAGTCATAAAATCTTGCATTCTCCACTCCATTATTGACTCGACAGTCAACAATCATAAAACCTTGCATCCTTTCTGTTTTGCAGAAAAAGGTATCTCGTCTTGCTTCAATTGTTAATGTAGAGGAGAAGACATGTTCTGACCAGGACTCTGTGTCTTGTGACAATGAGATTCAAAGCAGAGAGGAAGTTGTCATATCTGACAATGAAGCTGAAATTGTTGATTTGATGACTAGAGTTGAGCTAATGAAGAAAGAGCGCTCTGTTCTTTGGTTGCGGGAGTTCAAGGAGTGGTTAGATCATGCTTCTGAGAATGATGTAGACATCAGTAGATATAGCAGGGCTAGACTGCATCTCGAGAAGGAAAACTATATAAAAACCAAGGCAAGCTGCAGGCAGCTGGGTGAAAAATTAACATATGTTCCAAACTGCGTCCAAGCATCAGGAGATGAGAGTAGTACAAATGTTTTAGAATCAGACAGTTCCTTCTTGGATATATCTTCTGGACATGCCCATTACTTTGACCAAATTCTTTCAACGGGGAATGCTGGTAGGGTCAGCCCAGTTGGCATGGATAGTAGAGATCTCAGGGAGAATTTAAAAGCTTATTCCCATGAAGGGACAAGTACTGTCAGTTTGGAGGCTAAAAGTTTCCGTGCTCAGATGTTCACCGCTCAAGGTCAGGGGATGATCCAGAATTTGAGCATGTCTGCATTATCTGTTATTGATGATATTTCAGAGTCTTATTCATCATCTGCTAACCCCGGATCACCGCCCCATTATCAAAAAGACATTCTTCGTCGTAGACATAACTTAGAGGAGGAAATTTTACAGTTATCCGCTGGGTCATATTCAGTGGCATCATCGGATAGTAATACCAGCTGTTGTGAAGATGAAAATTGTGAATCTACGCAGTCAGTTCCTGAGAACTGGTTAAATGAGAGTGCTGAAGAATACCCACTTTCAAATCGTTTCAAGTATTATGACATAAAACGTGAGGTTGACAGACATTTGGTTGGAGTATCTGCCAGTGATGTTCCTGCTGATGCTCATGATGTTGAAATTAATAATTGCATTAATGAAGAATGTGATTTTCTGGAGAGGAGAAAAGGAAGACAGAAGACTAAAAGAAGAGTTACTGCTCTACTAGAAGATGATAACATGATTTGGCAAGCAGAACCAGCACCAAAATCAAATGGCATTCTAGATAATCATGTAGCGCAAGTCGAAAATAAGCAAGATAATCAGTATTTTTATGGGAGTGATTTTCATGAAGTTGATAAGAAACAGATGTTGGCAGATAGAAGCAGTACCCCACTAACTGAGTTCTTATCTTCAGGGAGTGATGAATTTATTGAGAATTATTTCAATACAAATGTCGCGGATTCACGAAATCACGAGATTTGTAAGCAATGTTTGTGTTGCTGTTGTATACTTGAGCTGGATTTTCTTTCCAGAGAAAGGTTTGAATTTGTCTTTTTGTGCTTGAACCGTATACAGCGTAGTGTCCTATAAGGCTATAACAAGGTTCTCGTGTACATTGTAATATTGGTGCTTATGTTGGGTCAGCTTTTCAGACGTTTCTGCTCTTTATATGTTTATTTATATTTATTTTACATGCAGAGATGTTGCTGTTGTACTTAGTAGTGAAGACAAGCTTTATCTACTGCTCATCGGTGTTGCAGGAGATGGGTCAGGTTAGGTTACACAGTCCTTCCGGGTGATTTATATATCATAAAATTTTCCTCTTTGACAATGATTACTTGCACAACTTGTTCTTCTATCTGGTTAGGTATATAAATGCCGATTTTCAATGGGGTCTTTGTTTGCAGGCACTATCTTAAAGTTAAAGGGTTGCCACAGGGTTGAGGATATCAGAGAAGTTGTAGTTGGTATAGGGCTCCAGGTTGTGAGGTTAGTGCTTAATGGTACTTACTATTTATAGAAAATAGGTATGATTGCAACCTTCTAACAATGTTTTTTCCTGTTGGCTTAGGGTGTATGTTGGGGGCAGTGTGACTTACCTGTTTAAAACTAGAAGCATTGAAAAATCAAGACAACTACTTTCTACTTTAAAAGCTATCGATTCTTTTGCGCCAAATGGAGGACTTTGCTTAAGAAGGTAGTTATCATTTTTCCCTTTCAGATGTCTATTGTTTATGTGATTACTGATGCGAATATTAGGATTTCCTTGTTGTGATAGACTCGGGTTTTGGGAATTTAAATGGCAGTTTGGAGCAGGTTCAGGTCGAGTTATTTGAGAAACAAATATGCGGAGGTTCAAAAGTGAGCATATTCCAGTATTCTATGGTGCAGTTTTGGTGTAGTTATAATGAAGGTATGCTTAGGTCATTGATTTTCATATTTAATAGTCAATGATTGTAATAATGTCATGAATTGAATTACTTACAATCAAAAGGCACGAAGTGTACAATAATCATTTTGGTAAACTTGTCGAGAACATCTTAGAATAAAGGACGTATTCCCATAGTTAACTTTTGTTACGCTACTGTTGGTTTTGTATCTATGAAATTTAATGATCCTTACGTCACTATGCTGAGAACACTTCAATACTGAGGTTTCACCATCACACCCTTCGAACGCCCCTTTTGCAGTCTAATTCTTTTTGGTTATTTTGAAAAAAAAAAAAAAAAAAAATCATGCTTGGTAACGTTCTTATATGATATATCTATATGACAGGTGAATCATGGTTTTCAAGATCATTATTTGTGGCTGGAGGGCACGTATTTTTGTGTTTTGAAGACTTGATGCAGTTCAGCTCTTTGTCCGTGGATGCGTCTTTGCCCACTTATTTTTCACTTGACTTATGTTGCTCTATTGCCGACATATCTGAGTTGGTAACCCCTCAAACTGATATTTAGCTTTACCCTTAAAATTCTATCGAAACGGACTCTGGCAAATTGATTTTCTGGTTCATTACCTGGATTCAGTAACATTTTCTTTACGGCTAGGGGGTAAAATCATTCAAGACATTAATAAGCACGTCTGTCCTTCAGGTTGTTGATGTCAGAGAAAGTCGGTGTGTAACCTTAGCTGTTGAGTGTGCAATGTCCGAGTTCTGCCCCTCAGGCTCAGCCGTAGCGGACAATTTAGACTCAAGTGCAAATGAGAAAAGGATAGCTCCAGGCTCCATGACTTGGAAGCTCCAGTGGTTTTCCGAAGAGAGTCCGTTCAAGTTTGTGGCATTGTTGAAGGCAATCCACGAAGGTATGACCGTTACCCCTTTGCTTGTAAGGTGTATATCGTGAATGAATCCCTTCGTTTTTTCGCCTCACGGTTTTGTTAGTTTCATATTCATTTCATTCTTTTAAATTTGTTTCTTTGCCCACTTTGTTTGTTTGCCTGCCGGCGTTAGTGTGAGTTGGCTGGAATTCGTTGATTTGTTTTCTTAGTTTTAGCAGTTCTTTTTCTTATGTACATTCTGTACAGTGTACAACATATAGGAAAGAAAATCGACTCTTTTGCCAATTGTGCACACAAATTTGGTTTCAAGCGAGCATGTTATTTGATTTGATACACGGTGAGATGTACGAGCTCGAATGCCCTTACCTTGCAACACTCGGTTCCAACAGTGGTATCGCCAAGTGTTGCGACAAGCGACATCTTAACCAAAATGGAAAGATGAAGTGTTGTAAAACAAGAAAATCGAGTTAGAGAGATAAATAGGATGTGCGGAAATCATATCCCTTTCATCTTTTATATCGTCAAAACAAACAGCTGTTTGTGCCTTCGGGCTTAAATACAAAGAATACCCCGAAACAAAAATGCCGTAGAATTCTAATCATTATTTTACATCGTACCTCATAGCGTTTATGTCATCGCTACGAGGGCAGCACAAACAGTTGAAAGAAGCTAAAGCCAAAATCTCAACCCTTCTTACAGAGCTATAAATCTTCAAATTAGCGAGTTTAGCTTTTGGTTTCCTGGCTGCGACGCTAGAAACCTTATTGTTTTTGGCTGCAAAAATTCAGCTTGGAACGAGCGGTTTAATGGCGAAACAGCCAATATCCACCCCCAAATATTTTCCAGTTTCCAACCATCAAGAATCTAACAGTTCGATAAGCAAATTGACTTGACAACTCAATTACTCTGGGGCATCAATTTCTTCGTATGAAGCTACATTAGATCCGGAAACAGTTAGTTTAATGTGATGTGAGATCCTGGAATACCAAGCAGGGAGAACTCGTAAATGTTCCGATGTAATGTAACACCCTGTTAATTCTAAACCACTATAAGCACCTAAAAGAGAGAAGTAAGGTTCATGAAGTACATGAAACTCCAACAGCTTTTACCTCTCATCTTTGTATGGGACCGGGATAAGAGGTGTGACGATATAGTAGCCATTTTCGGTCACACCAGAAATGCTTCTTGAACGAGTGCCCACGTAGATCGACCTTTTCTCATCAAAATACCCTTTGCATTTGAAGGTTCCAATTCCAACCTCTTCTGTCTATAATCTAAAAGTACAAAACCTCTAGTATTTTTAGTATTTCATGTAACATAAGTGTATGGACATAAATATAAACCACAAACAGAAACTGTTTTATAAGCAGAAGTTTGATCTCTACAACAAAGCCTCATCCCATTAAAGTGGGGTTGGCTGGATGAATCTTAGAACGACACTGCGCTCGGTTTTGTGCCAAGTCTTTCGTTAGCTCCAACTTCCGAGTAAGAAAATGTCAAATGACCAAAGTATAATTGTGAATAGTCACTTATCTAAAACCCGCAAAATATGCAGACTTAGAATTAGTTTCAACATCTGAAATCTTTGCCCAACACAATGTTAATACAGAACGTATCAGGTTCAAGGCATTCCTTGAGCTCAAAAAACTTATCTATCATAAGTAAGCACTTACCTGTGAATCCAAACTGTGCAACCAATCGAATTTTCGGTACAATTTGAATCCAAATATTCACAATGCAGCTTTATGCGTATTGCTAAAATAATCAATCCCTAAAATTGCTAAATCTGACAAGGTAATAAAAGATAGGAAGTGAAAAAAGCAACACCTTCTCTTGCCTTCTGATAATCTGCCAAGTCCCAAGCCCAAAAGTGATAGCTCCAGGAAGAAACAGCAACCATCTCGACAATCTCGACCTTTCCCTCCCTACACAAAAAAACGAATAAAGCATCAATCTTTTGAATATTTCGAGCAAATTATGAAAACCCAGAAGCAGAAAACACACGAACATCACAGAGGGCCCACCTGGAGCTTGGGAAGAGATGGTTGATTGAGACTCGGCTGCTGGGGAAGCAGCATTAGGGGAGGAGCTGGAGAAGGAGGAAGATAGTGAGAGTGGGGCCAGATGTTTGGGGTGAGAGGAATGGGACCCACTCGAATAATAAAGCTTGGTTATGGTTTTGGCAATGGAGGTTTTTGCTGCCATGTCGACGAATCTGGCAGTTGGCTGTGTTTCTTGCCGCGATCGAGGAGGAGGGCTTAAAGTTTTTTGACTTTTATGAACTGCGTGAAAAGTGTGCATCTTTGAGGTTTAAACCGGGTCCAAACTTCAAACCTAAGTGGTTTTCAACAAAAAAAAAAAAAAAAAAAAACTTCACACCCAAGTAAAGAAGCTCAATAAACACCGGTTTAGTGGAACTATCGTACTGCCACATAGTATTACAATTCAATGTGGTACAACACAATGGAAAATGATTCTCGCCGAATCTTTTTTCTAGAGATCATATGATCTTATTCGTTCATTGTATATATTACGGTCAGTTTTCATTAGGTATTATTTATATTAAATTTTAAATTTTGAAATGATTTCTGACCGCACGATATACGATGAATAATTGAGATCACGGGATCCCTAGAATCCCTAGGAAAAGGATTTGACGAGAATCCTTTTCCCAACATAATTGCCAAACGAGAAAATTTTAAATATGATAGGATTTTAAGTGACACGTGTAGCTAAAGTGAGTAATGCTAAAGTGAAAAGTACGTGAGAAATGGTGTAAGAATGACCTAGGTATTTATAGAAAAAAATTTATTATTATTTTTTTAAATTTGTCCAAAAGAAAATTCAAATTCCAATGGTAACTTAACGGCAGCATGACGTCAGCTAGCCGTTGCTAGCTGGCGTCATGCTAACGCTAAGTAGCTGTTGGCATTCAAATGGGCTAAGCTAGAAGGTTGGCAAAATGTCAAGCTTGACATTCTGGCGCTAGAGGGCTGGCTGTAAATGGTAAGCCCGCTAGCCTGATTTAGGGATTTTGGCCCAATGGGGCCCATAATTCCTTTGTCCTAGCCCTCAGTTGGTGATGATTTTCGCGTCATTCCGAGCTACTTTTAGCCATATGACACTTTAACTAGATCAGTTGGAAATGAACTTAGATGCTCACGCAACAAAATGGACTGCATTGACCTGGGAACCATCTTCCTACGAATACAATTTTCAATGCACAGTCTCACTCTTTGTGAGATTAGTTGGTTAAGCCCACCACATGGGTACAATTTAGCGACATAGTTGAAACTTTCCCAACCTAAGATACATTATAAAATGAATGATAAATACCAATCACCACCTAAATTAATCGGCTTCGAAATTCAAACCCAATTCTCCATCATCTCCTTCTTCTCCCATGGTAATACCTGCAAGCTTCATCTCTCATCATTTTTTTATTTCACTCACTGTTCTTGGTTTTTTTTCATCTGGGTTTTTGTTAAACTGGACTTTAGTACAATTTAAAGAGTTTTTAAGGAAAAACGGCAATGCGTTACTGGCGCGTTTGGTCCTCTGAAATGGAGGACTGATACAATAATGCAGTCAGCCCTTTTAGTTGCCCAGGTTTTTTGAGCAGCTATGCTTGCAGCTGTCGATTCATCAATTGTGGCTCTTGCATTCAGACGCTCGTAATTTTCGATTTTCCCTCAAATTTTCTCTTTTTTTAAGAATTAAAATTTTTTTCTTTCCTTTTCTGATATTCAATCAGTTTTTCAATGTCTTGAGTTCTTAAAAAATGGGTTCTTTTCGCGTTTGGATTTGTGGGTTTTAGACAAATCATGGTTTTGTTTGATTTAATGACATAGCAAATTCATTATTCATATTCTGTAATGAGGTGATATTTTAAATTACTTTTACTTTACAACGAGATGGGAGGATTTAAATTCAGATGCAATGATATGAGTGCATTACTCTAGTCAACTAGACTAATTCACATGGCCGAGGTGCTAGTAATAAAACTTGGTGTATAGAATGATTCGGAGCATACTAAAAAATTCCAGCAGCAAACAAAACACAGTCCTCATTAATCTGATTAGATGGCTTATGACTGATGATTGACTAAACTGAAAACCCTAAAATGCTGCAATGATCAAAGCCATGAAGACGACAGCAAAACCAGATCCGGCGAGTGGGGACAGCGCGTAAGCTGCACTCTTTGAACTGCCGGGAGAGTTGCCTGAGGAAGAACCTGGCACAAACAATCAGTAAAAAACACTAATCTAACTGTGAAGCTATCAAAGTCCGGCATGTTTTCGTTGTCATTTAATCGAGCACAGATACTAATCTAGGCGAGAAGCGACGAGTTTGATCGCTGATCTGAGACCAAACTAGTTGAGGATTTGACATGCTGAGATATCAAATTGTAAAAATAGGCATGCTGAGATATCAAATTGAAAAAATAGGTAAGAAAAAGCATTAGGAACTTACTGTTGTTAGAAGGTGATGCTGTACTGACTGGTGATGCTGCATCTGTGATGAAGAAAACAGCAAATTAAGATAAACAGTCGAGAGTATGTTCACCTGTCTCTCTCTTGATGTCATATGTCATATGAGGAGAGAGAAAAAAAAGAACCCTAATATATACACCCGGTTACACTTAAGATTTTGCTCTAATTTCCGAGCCGCACGTAAAGGTTAGTGCCTTTCCTTTGTTGTTTTTCAAACAAGTAGAAAAGAAAGAAAAACGTCTATAATCCATGGAAACAAACATATGAATCCCACAAACAAAATCCAAAAAATTTAAATTTAATTTGATTTAATTAAAAAAAGAAGGAAAGCTCAATCACCCTTTTTGCATACTGAAATGTCAGCATTGGCATCACAAGCCTTGGAAAGCTTCAAGGCATCACCCTGCGTTATGTTAAAGTTGCTCAACATGTCATCGTTGTTGAAGAGGGTGCAAAGGCACTCGGTATTATCCAAAACCAACTTCTTTAGTGGCAAGCAGCACGTTGAGGGAGCCTTCTCCGGCGCCTTCAAATACGCCTGACAAGGAATCAGTTTCTGCACGCATTGCATGGAAGAATCACTACCGCCACCAGCAGCGCCCTCCTTATCAGGCAATGCAGTAAGCTTCCGGCCATGGGAGACTCCGAACAACTCAAAAAGGGACAGAAACAAGAAGGGAAGCAAGTGTTTTGAGATCGAAGCCATTTTGTGTAGAGAGTTTGTGTGTGTTTTTGTTGGTTCAAATGGTTTGGTTTGTGAGACTTGTTTGGTGATATCTTATATAGTGATGAATGAGTCAAATGTGATTAGACAGACGCTAAAATCTTCTATGTGTGGAGTTTGGTTTTTGGTGACGGATTTTGTTGCCAATTCCTTCCCTCAGTCCCCATTGAGTAGAGGTTTTCTCTTATCCAGCGATTATTTGTTATATGGGTTTTACTTTATTTTCCATGGAAGTTTTATTTTTATGGTGAAATCCGTTGTGTCATCATCAAGATTTCCTATGATTTTTACCCTCATCAGAACAAGTACATGCGTACAGAAATGCTCCTCCTCCGTAACCGTAAGGGCATATCTATATATTTATTTATAATTGCAAGAAATTTTTTAGCGTGGCGGTTAAACTGTTACGTCGTGTTGGTGATTAACGTGTGATAACAGACGTGAAGCGCATAGTTGATGTGTCTTAGAGTATAGTGTCAATAAATAAATCCACGTGTTATAATATGAATAACATGATAATACTACGTGACGGTGTGACAGTTACACTGAAAAACTTATCGAATGTTGCATAACTCTTTGCTTGAAAACAAAGTAAGAAAACTGCAACAACCTAATATTGGCAGTCAAGACATTATGGTAAGTTGGTAACCAGCTAACAAAGTTACTCAATCAATTTGAATTTGTCATGTTTGAACAATAATTAAGCAAAGTTTACAACACAAATTTTGCTTTGGTACGAGAATTAACATGAAACAAGGAGTTGCCCCAACCCCTTTACTTGTATTACTGGTCGAACCAAATTTATAAGTTAACGTGAATCCCTGCAAAATATCGATGTGTGATTGAAACTGCCTCGTTTATATTTCATTTTCACGAAAATTCTTCTATGTTTTTGGCGTATCTTATACAATAAGAATTTTAGCCGTTAAATCTTTGGTTATTAGATCCTTAATCAAGAATATAATAGTCAAATATCTCAGTGTATAGAATATCATGAAGCATACTAAAAAATTGCCTATATTATTTTCAACAATCAATCCGAAAAAGATAGGCGATTGATAACGCGAAATCCATGCAACAAGGTGAAAGGAAGTGATAGAGCTGCCGGAACCCCTCTTTACTTTTACAACTAGTTGAGACAATGCTACAAGTTACGCTAACCCCTTTATCATATTTTAGATCAAGTTCTTGTGATAGATATTGGAGGAAACTGAAAATATAAGCAATATTTAGAAAACGAGTACCTAGAAAATGAACAGAATCACAAGATTCCGTACGTTGTGAAGTAGGTTGAATTAAATGTTTGATGTTGTATTAACTTACTAACTGATTATCGCTAATCGCTTGAAAGTTACTATAAGCTTGTACTTAATATAGCTTAGCGTGCTTTGCAGTTGGAGATGAGTGTTTGTGTAAGAAATTTGAGTTTGGCACAATAGATATTGGCACGGCTCAAGCAAACCATGGAGTCGAATCATGAATCGACATGAGGGTAAGCTTGAACCATGCCAATGCCGAGATTGCTATCGCATGCCTCGACTCAACGTGATCGGAATGGAAGTTCTGCTACAAACTTCTCCATTATATCATGAGAGCTTCAAACTTGTCTTACTAATTTGGAAGCCAAAACTGAAGCAAACAAGGCAAAAACTTTGGAACATTAAGCAAAACATTCTCCAAGAAATATGAAGCATCTGTCCTTCTCTTCACATTAAGGCCTGCAAAGTTCAAGAATTATTAAAAACGCAGCTGGTTGATTACAAGAACCAACGCTTTCAACCTTTTTTTTTACTATCATGCAACTTCTCATTTGAATCTTCTCGTTTAACTTTTTAGACTTTTTTTTCTTATCCTGTAATGTTTCATGATAATCTAAGCTATTTATTTTATAGCTCACCTTTTAAAATCAACTATGCTGAAAATCGACCAACTTTGAAATTGTTTAGCCATCTAATGGTTATCTATTAAATAGAGAAATCATGTCGTTTAGTTAGCACTAAAATTTTGAAACATTAATCGAATGGCTAAACGATTTCTATTTTGGCTTACTTTTTTGTAGTGTTGGTCTTTTAAAGATGAACTAAAAAGTATCATGCAATATTGCAAAATGAAAATAATCAAGAAGATAGAACGAACAAATTCGACCGAAAAGTTCGGTAGCATCCCCGTCCCACTTACTTGCATTGTTTCGGACACCAAATCTTTTAACCTTTTACTGACATTACCCCACTTTGGAGCCATTGCCAACAATTTCCTGTACTGTTAGTGCTGTCTACATGCATAATATTGTTGAATTAATTATAAACTAAATACTCATACTAGTCTTGACGGTTTTTAACAAATCCCTTCGTTGTTCTAAGAAAATCCACCAACTCGAAGCTAAGAGACAACACTTGTATCATCAAACAAGAACATTTGTTCTTAGTTTAAAGGGGTAACTAAAGTGCTTTTAGACAGTAATTTGCTCCTGTATAAAATTCGTGAACCAGAAACAGTCGCTTACACGTGTATCAATAACATTATAAATGTAAAATCATAGTAATCAGAGTTCATCCGGGAATAATATGGTCACGTACTCTAGAACCATAGATGAATGGTTCGTAACTCCCTACACTTTGCTTACAGGCACGCTTTTGTTATAAGCGCAATGAATTTTGGAAAAAATTCCACGTGCTTCCATAACCCATAAACCCTCTTAACTTTTTTTGTCAAGGGTCGCTAAAAGATTGGCTGGTTATCAGAAAGCACATTTGAGCTGCCTGGAAGTAATCCGAAACGAGCGCTTAACAATGTTACGAATCATATAGAACAAACAAGCTGAAATTGGGTTATTGAGTTTAGCAGGATCAAACTATTGAGTTTCGTTGTTCTTTTTGTTCGACCGACGTTGTCATAACAACATAATGTAATCCAATTGAACTTGGGTGCAAAGGAAGAGCATACTGCTCTAGCCAACTTGATTACATTTAGGGTTTGTTAACTATGTTTTCGTGTGCTTTAGAACAACAATGACAGACAGGTTTGGAAAACATTAACTCTGCCAAGTTTTCTTCAAATCGCCAGTGAAGAGGAAGTTGTCTCATGTGCCCAAATGAAACAAGAACAGAACATAATCCGGAAATATCAAAGCTATTTACTGACAAACCAAAGGAGAATCGAAAGCGACAGGGACACACGTGAAAGTGCTTTCCCATAATTCTTGCCGTCCGATTGCTCACAGCATTCCAACACTAAAGTTACTTTGATTTTTACCGTCACCTTTTGTCGACATTTCATCCGGCCTCTCCCTTCTTTTATACCATTTCACACTTCAACCCTCAGGTCTCAAAAACTTCGTGAGGCCTGAGCCAAAAAGAAGGGCTCGAACTGAGCATCACCGGTTGAAAACGGCGAAAGTGGCGAAAATGGGGCGGAATGACACCAACAGAAGCCTCGAGAGTCTGTTTGACATGGACAAATCAGTTGCTGCTAAAAGTTCTGTCCCTCTTCGACCCATGAAGATGATTCCGGGCCATGGACTTGAGTTCAACAACCTTTCGTATAGTGTAACAAAGAAGCTGAAAAAAGACGGGGTTTGGATCAAGAAAGAAGCTTATCTTCTCAATGATATCTCTGGCCAGGCAGTGAGGGGTGAGATCATGGCCATCATGGGACCTAGTGGTGCTGGGAAATCCACATTTCTTGATGCATTGGCGGGACGGATTGCTGAAGGGAGTCTGGCAGGCTCTGTTAGGATTGATGGAAGAACGGTTAGTGATCTGTATAAGTTTTTCTCTGTGCAGGACGTCCGGTCTTTCTTTTGTCTCGGAAACTGAAAGAGAATGATTGCATATATAAAGTTGATTCTTATTTTCAGGTTACTACAAGCTACATGAAGATGGTGTCATCTTACGTTATGCAAGACGACCAGCTTTTCCCTATGCTGACTGTTTTCGAGACGTTCATGTTTGCAGCTGAGGTTAGGCTTCCTCCCTCCATTTCGAGGGACGAAAAGAGAAAGAGAGTCTATGAACTCCTTGAACAACTCGGCTTGCAGGTAAATTTGAAGTCTCTTTCGCACGCATGTGCGCATATGAACTTAACTGCACAAATTATACATCTTGATTCTGATGAGGTTATATATGCAGAGTGCAACACATACTTACATTGGAGATGAAGGGAGGAGAGGAGTGTCGGGAGGAGAAAGGCGGAGGGTGTCAATTGGAATTGACATCATCCACAAACCTTCACTGCTGTTTCTTGACGAACCAACTTCTGGTCTTGACTCTACAAGCGCTTTCAGTGTTGTGGAAAAGGTAAAGGAGATCGCTCGAGGTGGTAGCATCGTGATGATGACCATCCATCAACCTTCATATCGTATTCAAATGCTCTTGGACCGCATGACAATCCTAGCAAGGTAAAATTTTGCTTGAATGTGTTAAATTTTTCTGAATCGTAGGCCACTCGGTCAGTTAATTAAGGGTTGCAAATATAGACTTTATGATTTGGCACGCATCATGCTTGTTAACTAAGCTATCTAATAATGTGGTTGCAGAGGAAGACTGATATATTTGGGAAGCCCGCACGGTCTATCTGCTCACCTTTCTGGATTTGGAAGGCCAGTTCCAGACGGTGAGAATGGCCTCGAGTATCTCCTGGATGTGATTAAAGAATATGATGAATCAACCGTGGGACTAGACCCGTTGGTGTTGTACCAACGCGATGGCATCAAACCTGATCAGGCGTCCCGAAGCCCAGCTCTGAAAACACCAAGGAGAACTCCTTACAATAAGACTCCTGCGTCCAAGCACGCAATCAGCCTCCGTAGTCAAGCCTATTCCATTCGAAACAGGACACCTGGACCAGGCCAGTCTGGTCGGTTTGATTATGAGGAAGCTGATGAGGATTTCGACAACTCCCTCGAAAGGAAGTCAGTTCATATGACACCAATGCATCATCAGAACAGTGGTGTGTATAACCCTCGTCTAGCTTCACAGTTCTACAAGGACTTCTCTGTCTGGATATACCATGGAGTCAAGAGAACCCCTCGCCGCCCACCATCATGGACTCCTGCTAGAACACCTGGAGTGACACCAGTCTCAGTCTCGGGTATGAGGAGTCAAGTTTCGAGCCAATATCCCACACCACGACTCATCCTGCAGCCACCAAGACACGCTAGTACTAAAACCCCTGTACTCTTCAGCCCTTCAATTGACTCCTATGCACCTTCCTA